GGCTTCTAAGGGGTAACTCGTGAAAAGAGAAAATTTCGTCCGTTTTGCTCTATCTTGTACCGTTTCGGTGCTGCGGGGCATTTCTTGGCGAAAACAACGTGCAAAAGACAAAATGGGCTATTAAATCGGAAAAAAGGCTTCATGTCACAGGATTGTAAATGGAGTAGTACTTAAACCACACATTAGTGTTCGTACCACACCCTCGTTTGGGCTTAAGGTTCCCTAGATTATCTAGTGTCACTAAAACGTTGATTTTTGCACAACACTCTGTCAAAATTCGAGCTTTTAATGAACACCTTCATCGAACACAAGTTGTTTCCTGCCCCTAATTGAGAGTAATTATTTCCCGACAAATGCTGTTAGTGTGTCAAATTTTGGTGCCGAAAGGCCCTGTTTCCGTTTACCCTCCCATTGACTCGCCTCGGGTGTCAGCGCCGCAGGCCTAGCTATACGTGCGCCAGGCGCGTCGCAGCGTAACAGTGTTTCGTGAGATATCACAAAGCCTGTTACGCGAGACGTGGTCTGGCGTACATCTACCTTGTTATTCGCACCACGGTGTAAATTTTGCTCCATATCCTATTTCCACCACAGTGGTGTAAATAGTCACTCCGCTTACAGACAAGGTAGTAGATGTACGCCAGACCACGTCTCGCGTAACAGGCTTCGCGATATCTCACGAAACACTGTTGCGCTGCGACGCACCTGGCATACATCTACCTAGGCCTGCAGCGCTGACACCCGAGTCGGGTAGCGCAACAATGTAAACATAGGGCCTCCGGCCCGCCAACTTTCCGTCTCTTCGACTAAGCATGCAGGGTTGTACATGTTTTCACTCATTTTCGTCAAAAACTCCCTGTGACCCTAATGATTTTTTAAATCCAATAAAGCATTCCGGAAAAGCTCAAATGCAGAAGAATGCGAGGAACAAGAAAACGGAAGTCACCATGCTAAAGCATAGCGATTTCCGTTTTCTTCTTCCCCGCATTCTTCTGCATTTCAGCTTTACCGGAATGCTTTATTTTCGAGCTAGAATGCTCTTCTTCGAACTCGATCTGTCTTTTTATGACACAAAACGACCCTGAAAATCCCAGTTTGGTAGCTCAATAAAGCATTCCGGTAAAGCTGAAATGCAGAAGAAGGCGGTGAACAAAACAACGGAAATTGCTATGCTCTAAGATGGTGACTTCCGTTTTCTTGTTCCCCGCATTCTTCTGCATTTCAGCTTTACCGGAATGCTTTATTCGTTCTCAAGTTATCGTGCGCACAGTCAAACACACAGACACACAGACAGACAGATGCGAAACTTTTTGATCATCACTGGAGTAATAGGCTTCGCTATCGCTCAGCCAAAAAATCTGCAGACCGTGCTCGTGAGGTGCTTGTCAGGGAAATTGGGGAAATTGTCAGCGACGGTCTCGCGTCAGCCACGGTGGATGGGTGGAGGGAGAGGAAAACTTAGCGGAAATATCTTGCCCACACAGCACCCCTAATTGGGGTAAGGTGCCCTATGATGGCCACTTTAAGCGCACGCCCTTGCTTTTTCCTCCACCAAGCCGCAGCCATACGTCACATCTACACCAGAAAAATCAGGAGTGTATTAGAAGGTTCAAAGAAAATACCACCACGTGCGAAAACGTCAAATTAAAGTTTATTCATAGATAAAAAAATTAGTAAAGAAACAGTTCATTTTGCCCATTGATGGCCACACCTTGCCCATTGATGGCCACCCTTGTGCCCATTGATGGCCACCCTAGAAATTACTTGGTTTGGCGAGTCCTGCGCCGTTCTGGCGCAGCCTGTAGACGCCTGGCTGCAGCGGCAGCTTCTTTAGCAGCCTTCTCGGCGTCCTGGAGAGCCTTCTTAGCAATGCGCGCCTCCTTTCGCGCCTCCTTCTCGGCCTCCTCCTCCTTCTTCTTCCTATCTTTCTCTTCCTGCATCTCGCGCCATCTCTTGGACGTGGTGACGTAGGGCATACGTTCCATCTTCCGCTTGCCCTTGCGCTTGGGACTGTGAGGCCACACAAGGACATCCCGCAAGGACACGCTAGAGGCGCTACTTCCCGGGCGAGGTTCGGCGTCAACCTCGGGTGGGTCGTCGGGGTCGTCGTCTAACGGTTCCTGCCGCACCAAGCTGAGATCCACTTGCATAGGGCTTTCATCTAGTGCCTGTGAGGAGCCGGCTACCGATTCTGTGCTCACGACCGCCACAGTAACATGCTCTTCCCTCGGCTTGCCTTGCAGAGCGGAATACACCCGGTGCAGTGCTGCCAAAGCTGCATTGTCTTGCAGCTCCGGTGCGGAACTCTGCAGGGAGCGGATTATTTCTTCCCCTACCAAGTCCTGGAAATTTGTCATAGTAAGCGTTACTGGGAGATCCGCTTGCTGTTGTTCTGCCTCGGTCTCTGGGGCCCTGTTTACGTGTCCTTTGCATTTCTTGTAATTAACAGCGTCAGGGTTGAAGGGGTGAAGTCCAGTCACTCTAAATCCATTGACAAGAGACAGGGTCATGTCCTTTTGCAGAGCAGTGTTCAGTATCGGACCAATGCATTCTTTAGTTAGAGAATCATGAGGGTGCTTACGGCGCCACTCCAAAAGGGCACGCGACCAGGCAGCTTTCAGAGGCCGGAACGCAGCCACGTCACACGGTTGTAGGATGTGTGTGGCATTGGGATACAAGGCAATCAGTACAATGCCAAGCTCTTTGCAGAGAGAACTAGTCTCCCGTGTCAAATGTGTTTTATGCCCGTCAACAAAGAGAATAAACGGGGTCTTGATTTTGTTGAATTCAAGAAAATTAGCTAGAATGCTACTTATCCATTCATAAAAGGTTTCAGCGGTCATCCATCCGGAATCTGACCTGCCTATCCCCCAAGCAGGAGGGACACTTTTCACAAGTGCGGCTGGCACTCTCTTGTACGGAAAAATGATCATGGGCTCTACCCTTTTCCCAGATGCCGTGTACGCAAACATTACCGTAACAGCGAACTTGTCATCGCTAGTGGGAGAGACCTCATAGACATCCTTGGCCCCCTTTTCAGCAAGAACAAACGATTTATTTGGACAAAGTCGAAAATTGCTTTCATCCCCATTCCCAACTCTGTCAGGGTCTTTGAGGGCTTCCAACGCACCTTCCTCTTCCAGTATGACTCGAATCTCCTCAAACCATTTTCGGATATCTTGCTCGCTCACGTTCCCTGCTGCTCTGGTTATGCCCTCTGGTGTTCGTTCCGAAAGGTTAGGGTGTCTCTTCAGAAAGAGGCGGTACCATTTGGTTCCTGAGAATTGAAAACAGAAGTAAGAAGTCTGTTCGTAACGACATGAACATTGAAGCGAAAATGTATGGTGTACGCTATACCTGGTAAATTATTAGCAAATGAATGTTCTCTTTCGGGAGCCTTGTCTTGAAATTCTTTGACGCTCAAAAGCACATCCATTTTCCGCCGAGGGAAACCCTTCCGAGAACAATCCAAAATCCAGTCCACAAGAAGCTGCTCTTCTTCTGGAGTCAGTACTGGGCGACGGCCTCGCTGCGGGTCGACCCCCCGAAGCCGATGCCGTAGCGTACCTCGGGGCACATTGTGCTCCTTCGCTGCAGCGTTGATGGCCATGTGACGCTTCCGGACATCTTCCACGGCTGCACGCACGCGTTCCTCTTGTTCTTTGCGAAATGATTTTGGAGCCATGCGCCACACCTACGTAAAATAATAGAATTAATATTTAAAACAACATGCACATTTCCTGCTTCTCACTACCGCTTGGGCATTCCCTCGGGGCAACGCCAGCGCAGGGCGAACGCCGATCGCTGGGCAGCAGTGCGTCCAGTCGCCGGCAAGGCTTGGCGCACGCTTGGCGGCGCTCCTGCACAGGGAGCGAGAGAGAGGCGGGGGGGGGGG